AATCTGGAAAAGCACCAGAAATGGCTGAATGGATGGAACTGCGAACATGAGACCTTACCAGGTAATATCAAGGAATATTTTTTACAAAATGGGATGTGCTTGAAATCACTCTAGACACCCAGTAATTTAGTAGTGAGCAGTCAACTGAGATTTTGGACACTTGTATATTATCAAGTTGCATCATTGGTTAGCTGGGGAGCTGCACAACTGTAATTTTTAATTACATTTTGCTTAAAATTGTTTATATTAAAAACTAATGTGTGTAAGGGCTTGTAATTACAATACAAACGCACACTGGCAACATTCTATGATGTCACTGATGATGTGCTACAAAAGCCAGTTTAATCATTAGGAGCAATGCAGAAGCACTTTGTGTTATTTGAATGCTGCAAATAACTACATTTTCAGGGAGCTAGTCTTAGACAGTAAAATTACCTGCAGTTATGGTATTTGCCTGGCGCCTCCCCCTGAACAAACTACAGGGATATGATACCTTGGTTTGTCAGTGGACAGAGATCTGAGTTAAACATAATTGAGACGCTTGCCAGCAGCGCAGGTGGACCGCACCACTTCCTCATAACGGTCTCTGAGGTGCAGTACCATCCAAAGATAACTGTAAAACTGTAAATCCAGTTGCTGTTGACCTACAGTAGTGCTTCTAGATATCTTGTGACCCTGATTCCTCATAAACAATTTATGGCAACAAGCAGGAAAACAAACTTCAACATTCAAATAAACATCACACTACAGAGGAGGATGCCCATAGCCTTTATTGGTAGGTTATTTCTGTACATACACCTGCTCATGTCTTATGTACATTATTTATTTTTTTGTGAATCTTAACAACTACCCATAGTCATGATACCCCATATATATATATATAAAAAAAAAAAAAGACTTTCTGTGCAGAGTTCAATCACAGTCTGAGATCTATGAAGGACATTTTCATCTGTATAATGAATGCACACACACACACACACACACACACACGCACCACAAATATCTTGCATATGGCCTTGTGCCTTGGTTTACATAGATCAAAAAAATACACACAGTGACTGACGAACCAATAGGCAACCCAGTAGTTATCAAGTGAATTTGGATCTTCTCACATATAAACCAACACTGTGGGAGCTTTGTGTGTCCATGGTATATGTGCTTCCATTACTGTCTGAACAAGACACCAGAAAGGTTATAAAATGTTAGCTGTCTCACTCTTAGGGGCATGTTTCAATTTTGAAACAAGCTACAAATACATTTTACAATTATTCAAGTAATGTGCGAGTCTTATATTACACTTGACCCCCTGCTGCAACTTTGGAACATACCTGATGGTGAGATTTTCCAATGCTACATATTATCTAGTATAATCCCCTGAGTGCGACTCATACAATCAACCAGAGCCAAGTGACCTTAAACTAAGGAGCTTTTCTCAAATGCTTTCAATACACAGTCTGTGTCTGGGTGTTTTTATAAATCATGAGCTGTGCTGAGTGGGAAAAGCTAAATCTATACCGTGTTCAAACAGACCAGTTCCTGCCTTTCCTCCTAATTGGTGGAAAATGAGTTTCATTAAACTGAGATGTGCTTTATGATGTTTTAAAAATCTGATGCATTTACCACAAAGCAGGATTGTTACTTGGGTAGGTAGTTTAACTAAACTGAGCCTAGAAAAACCATTTTCCTTAAACCTGCGTCAACAGCTTATCACTTCATAAAACTGAATAGCAATTAGTTGTTTATTTACACCTCCAGCAGAGACAGAGCAACATTAGCTTTAATTTGTTTGGCATTTTGCAGCCACATAAGCCATCAGCCATTCCTGGTCTGGACTAGTCCTGTTTTACTTAATAAACCTGCTTTATGATACAGAACCCTGGTATTACCTAACACCTAATAAAGAGGATCCAACACTCATGGTCACCCCAGACCTCTGAACCAGGGGAACAGTCTTGTAAGAGCCACATCTTTAACTTGAGCACACATGTAAGCAAGTCAAGCTCTGTAGATAAGCAAGAGAGGCCATGTCAAGGTGTTATGGACAAAGCTATTGTGTGCTTTAGTTTCTACACACGATCACAAGAGACAGAAAGGAAACAACATACTATAAAACAAAAAAAACTGGCCTGTTTCATAAGTGCACATTATATATGTACACACTTTGTGTTTATAACTTATTACAACAACGTTATGGCAAATAAAAACCTAAAAGAAAGAACCCTGCTTTAGAGTCAAAACTCTCTCCATGTCTGATTTGTCTGTTTTGCTTGTTTCTCTCTCACACAAAAAGTTCTGAACACGTCTACAAACATCGACTGCTCTTTCTCACCAAAGAAAAAAAGGTAAACAAAAATTGAGATACTAAAAAATATAATGCAAAAGAAAAGGTTTCTTCTCTTCATCACCAGTGGCCATCTTTCCAGCTTACATGTTCCACTGTGACTCAGAAGCAGTTCGTAGGCAGCCAGCCCATCACCTGGACACACATAATGGTGAAAAAAAACATTGTTTTCACATAAACACATGGAGCATAAAAACCCATTCATACTTATGGAGAGTACGTGTGTGATTGTCACTGGGTTAGGGTGACGCACAGTGGAGTATGCAGAGGTAAGGGTCCGGTGGTTGATAAGAGTGACGGTATTGAGTTTTGTCCACTGGCCTAACATGTTCCTCTAAGACTCATCTGTCCGCTACAGAGCTGATTTGGATTAAAGGTTCCTTTGGAGTTTCATGTTGCCTCCACAGCCTCTGGTAAGGAGAACACCAAACCAATTGTTACAAAAGCACTAAGGTGTTTTTTTTTTGTTTCCGTTTTTGCAGGTGAAGTTGCCGCTGTGACAATAGATAACATATGAAAGTCTTCGTTTTATCATGGTCCGACTGTGCCATATGCTTAGGTTTGGCAACATACAAGTTACAGAATTTCAGCTCACAGAACTGAATTCCAGAGTCCAGTCTCCAGCTGTCGCTTTAAAATCAATAACGCTGCCCATGGCTGGTTCTCCTCTGACATCCCCACAGGTTGGTGCCGGTTAGCAGGGCTTGACAGTGTGCTGCTCGTGTGTTAGGTCATGGACTGATGGTGACTTCACTCTGAAACCCAGTATGGGGATGCTGGATTTATAAACAAGGGGGCAGTAAAAATATGTGTGGGAGAATCAATGCTACATTGTAAACAGAGGGGAAGGGTATTTATTTTGGAGCTTGACAGCCACTGTGATTCTGTGACAGAGCTGGGCAGCAGCAAAGGTTTCAGCTGAGCTGCAGTCAGGTTAGTCTGGTCTGAAGATGGGGATCTTAGGTAGGAACTCGATTAGGATTACCTGCAGGTGATAAGAGAAAAAGCTGTTAGTGGTTAAGTCACGGGTGGATGTTATTTACTGTGAGATGATAGTGACTTCCAAAGCGGTAATGTGGCTTTTTTTTTATCAGAATATCAGAGTCACAAAAATATTGCATTAATATGATGAGGTACCTTGATTTCTTAAGCATTTAAAGCAGCAGGTTAAACCTGGCTCATCTTTGGTTTGCATTGATCATTATGTCATTTTGTTCTGAACAAAAATACAATGTACATTAGTAAAGGTTTTCAACTTGACTAATTTGTGCATCAAGCTCTGATGTGTGAGTCAATTGTTCCCTTAATTTTTTGAGCAGTGTATTTGGCGCTGTACTAAAATGATATATGGACCTTATTATCGCATTATTTTCAGGCAGGTGGGCCTTTGTTTTTAAAGACAAAACCATAGTCACATGAAATATTTGATTTTTTAATTTAACGACTAAGACTAAGAATCAGAATCAGCTTTAATCGCCAAGTATGTTGAGCTTACAAGGAATTCGTCTCCAGCACAGACGTCTCAGTGTGTTTTAGGCAACAGACAAAGATAAAATGAATGCAGCCATGGTTTATTTTCAGGTATAAAATCTTTCGTCGCTGTATTATAAAACATTGCGCAGCATTCTGGCTTTCAAATGAATAGAACTAGCCTTCAAGGACTATATTATCACTTCCCCAGTATCTGAAACAACATATTCAACCCAGTGTTGCCCCTTGCATTTTTAACCTACTGCATGTTCTGTAAGTATGTTCTCACCAAATATTATGGGACAATTTTACCCAAATACATGTACAGAGCTCAAACATTCATCCACGGTGCATACTTACAAATTCCATCATGTTGTTGGTTTCACACTTCCTTTTGCTTAATCTCCAGTGCAAACACAACTGTAAATAAAGTATAACAGTGAGTTTACATGGCATGCCCTAACAAAGAACAATGTCTAACAGACAGCATTCCTTCCCCACTTACCTTGTGGTACAGTCTGCTGTTCTCCCACTCTAGGAGCTTCTCTAAGGATCGTCTTGTCTGGAAGGCAACAGTGAAATCAGATGATATTGTCTGAACCAAAAATATATATATAGTTGATTTGTATTTACTGTGATGAATATGAATGAGGTGCAGGGTGGGTGGATATCTCACCCTCTTGCTGAGGCAGATGACAGGCCACAAACTAAAGCCCAGAGTGCAACAGCAGCAGAGGCAGCCACACAGGAGCCACCGCACATTCACTGGCAGTGTCTTCCTCAGGCAGCTGTTCACACGGTTGATACTGGCTTTGAATTCCTCTGGTGCCACCTAAGGGTAGCACACATTCATGGATTACTTAATATGGTAACATGTATGTGTAGCAATCCACATTTTTTTTTTATAGATATTTAATCTGCGTTCTGAAGTGACACTCAGATAATGAATAATTGTGCACTAGAGGATGAAGCCATTTAAAATAATGTATTATATGTTAGCTGGTGGCTGGACTATTATATAAATCTAATCACGCAGCAATATGGGAATGTGTTTTGTTACATATGGCAAAATATGCTGATTATTAACAAGACATTTACCTTTCCTGTAAGTGCTGAAGGAAATTCTGACTCATATTTGTTGCTAAGCCCAAACCTGCAGGGGACAGAGACATTTTTGACTTATTATACACAAGCACACACACACACACACTCCATCTGGATAATTTACTTGAATAAACAATCCTCTGCCACATGAGAACAAGTCTATGACATGTGCTATTTAATGTTTTCCTCTACTTATCCAAAGGTAAAGCTAAGGAGTGCAGCAGCAGTTGGAGGTGAGTTATCATTGTTCAACTTAAATAAGCATCAGTACCACATAGTGTTTGGGGGGAGTCCCCTAACACAAACACATTATTTGTATATTAAAACAGAAACCATTTGGCATTTCATAAAAAATATTCATGACATGTCAAGTGTTAAGTATAATGATACGTATGATGAATATATTGTATGAAGTCACATTTCAATTCCCATAGTGTCCTGTATGATTTTATTGACTGCAGTCATACATTCATGATAGGTGAGATAATGTCTTCTTTTCTATTTACTTTGGGGGAGAATGATTATTTATGTCACTTAACTGTAACAAATACTGTTAATACTCCCTTAAAAGGATTAAAGGGGAGAAACAAATGGGCCACCAAACCTTTTATACACGTTCTCCAAACTATAATGATAAAATAAGCTATCATTACCTTCCACAGTGACCAATAGGAGTATCAAATCATAAGACACACATGTCAGCAGTGTCTTCAAAGCCATAAGTAATCCCTGTTACAAAAATGATTTATAGATAAAACATTGTAACCTTTTAAGAAAGATACTGACATTTGCTAGTTTCAGTGTGTCTACTGTGAGGGCTTTGTATTTCTGTTTTATATCACCGTTAAAACCGGCTATAAGAGGACCGGGAAGGGGCGATATCGGCTCACGGCTAAGTCTCTGGCGCTAGCACTCTTTTGTCGCCTCTAGCTAAAGCAAATCTAAAATAAATGAGTAACATGATATATGGCTACAAAGGAAAGAACTTACACTTAAATTGTATACCATTATATTAACTGAAAACGTTACACAATCATTTATATTTGCCCTTAAAAAAATTTGCAGCATGTTGGCTACAATTCTTCCTTGAGAGCACACCGTAACGTTAAATACTTATTAGGTCACAGACTTCAGCTAAACTACTCAGCCACCCATCGACTGCTGGCAGTTGAGCTAGCTTGCTGCTAACTGTAGTTAGATCACCAGCGACAGCAGCTAATCATTCCACGATAACTTTAAACTCCTGTTTCGATGTCCGTGAGCCTCGCCGGTTGCTTACACAGTTACGTGGCCGGATCCCCGCACTACCACTGGGTCCGGAGCGTACTTGAGGAGCTGCTCCTCCGCGGCCCTGTCCTCGTCCTCCTCTTCCTCCTCCTCTTCTTCGTAGATCTCATCAAAGTCCTCCATCATCGCACGGCTCGGCCTCGCGCTTCCCGGGAAAGACACCGGGAGAGACACGATGCCGACGAAAAGCAAAACCTTACCGAGAAAACAGTACAAATAGAACCGTGAACAGAACAACAAAAGTGATCAATCCGTCCGTGAGACGATACAATTCACATCTTTCAGCAGGCTCCAAAACAAAACATCAACATCCGCCGCAGCAACCCTACGTCACCGGAAGAGGGACGGACGACTGAATTCTATTTTTATAACCTGTTTTAATAACTGAACGTAGCAATTTATATGGAAGCCCATTCCCGCCAGTTACTCCGACTTAGCTAAGTCGAAATTTGTCTTAAAGCGTGTAGGAGACTTGCAGCTGCCAATAGCAGAACCTGTGAAGCAATCTCCAGGAAACCACAACCGGAAGTAGGGTTTAGCAACGCTCCTAGTGACAGGAGTAGACGGGAAGTGAGTTAAGGGGGGCCTTCTCTAAAACTGTCTGAGCTTAGGGCATTCAAAGGTCAGGATGTGTTCTTAGATTTTTACAGATAAAACTGCCTGGGGACAAGATCATCAAATGAGGGGTCAGAACGAGGTCAACCGACCAACCAGGGAGCGAGGATGAAGGACAACGCGGAGGACGTCAGATCTACCATCATTTGTATATTTGAAAAACTGTATAATTAGTTAGAATTTCTACTTAGATTTACTTAAGTCATTATTTCTACTTAGCTAAGTCGGAATTTCGACTTAGCTATGTCAGAATTTCGACTTAGCTAAGTCGGAGTAACTGGCGGGAATGGGCTTCCATAGGCACTCGTATAGCAAATCGAATTTCCCCATAAAAAATAATGGAAACACAGATGATTTGTTCCACAACCATTTATTCATATAAAAATGATAACAGTAATACAAAATACAACATAAATTAACCTGCGCTTTACCTTTGAAAAGAATCATGGCTGGCGTGAGGGAGACTAGAGAGAGGAGCTATCTGCTATGGGTTGGCTCACTGATATCTTCTTCTTTTAGTGCAGCTGTAACAAGGAACCTATCCAGTGACACTTGGTTTTGCCTCCTTTTGAGGATTTGGCAGAAATGTGACACTGCATTATCGTTAAACAGATTGGTCGCTCGCACTGCTACAGCCTTATTTGGGTGGTGCTTTTCCACAAAATTTTGCACTGTTTCCCACATTTTACACATGTCCCTAATCTCATTTGAAGTGAGGGATTCCTCTGGCTTTTTATCCTCCTCTTCAGACGAGATCTCCTCCATAACCTCTTGCTGTTGCTCGCGATGCAGATCTATCAGTTCGTTGGTGGTCAGCTCCTGGCCATGTTCCTCCACCAGCTCTTGAATGTCGTCCTCATTCACCTCGAGTCCCATGGTCTTCCCCAAGGACATAATTTCGTCGACAACTGGTGGCTGCTGTTCCTGAGCAAACCCCTCAACGTCATGTCCAAGAGCACAATCAGACCACAGTTTTCTCCAAGCAGAATTAAGGGTTCTCTTGGTGACCCAATTCCAGGCTTTATCGATGAGCTTGAGGCAGTTCACAATGTGGAAATGATTTTTCCAAAACTCTCTGAGGGTAAGGTTTGTTCCTTCGGTCACCTCAAAGCATAGCTGAAATAGTGCTTTGGTATAAAGCTTTTTAAAGTTGGAAGTGACCTGCTGATCCATGGGCTGGAGTAGTGGAGTGGTGTTGGGAGGCAGGAACTTGACCTTAATAAACTCGAATTCCTCCAGTAAGTCATCCTCAAGGCCTGGAGGATGAGCAGGAGCATTATCCATTACCAGCAAGACTTTGAGTGGCAGATTCTTTTCTAAAAGGTATTTCTTCACTGTAGGACCGAAGACCTCGTTGATCCACTCAACAAACAAGATACGAGTGACCCAAGCCTTGCTATTGGACCTCCACATAACATTTAACTGGCTCTTCTGCACCTTGCATTTCTTGAAGGCTCGTGGATTCTCTGAATGATACACCAACAGGGGTTTGATTTTCAAATCCCCACTGGCATTAGCACACAACAGAAGGGTGAGACGGTCTTTCATGGGCTTGTGACCGGGCATTGCATTCTCTTCTGCTGTAATGTACGTCCTCTTTGGCATCTTTTTCCAAAAAAGCCCTGTCTCATCACATTTAAAAACTTGATGCGGCAGGTAACCTTCGGAAACCATGAGCTTCTGGAACTCAGCAGTGAACGCCTCAGCTGCCTTAGCGTATGAACTCGCAGCCTCTCTATGCCTCACAACACTATGGATGCCACTTCTCCTCTTAAAGTTATCAAACCATCCCCTGCTCGCCTTGAAGCCTTCTTCATTTTCTGTCGACGTACCTGGCAGTTTACTTACAAGGTCAGTGTACAAGGCCTTTGCCTTCTCGCAGATAATGTTCTCGGACACAGTATCACCTCCTAGTTGCTTCTCGTTTATCCAGACAAGAAGCAACTTTTCTACATCTTCCAGAACACGTGGTCGTTGCTTTGATACTCTCGTGACTCCTTTTGCTGCATCTAGCCCCATTATTTCTTCTTTTTTCTTTAATATTGTGCAAATTGTCGACGTAGACTTGTTATAAAATCTTGCGATGTCGGCCACTCGCATACCTCGCTCATGCTTCTGGATAATTTCCTTTTTAACTTCCACCGTAATCATCTCCTTCTTCTTCTTACCTCCGTCCTTTTCAACCTTTTTCTTCTTCTTCATCGGGTCCATTGTTGCAGTACAAATGACTCTATGAGTGAGACCGGGAGACGATTATTGTACTCACTATCCCGCAGCGAGAAAGAACCATCGGCTCACTTGTGACCTGACGCTCGGCAGACATAGTACGTACTAGTGGTGGGCGGATCGATCTAAAGTATCGATCGATACTTGCGTGATGGGATCGATAGTTGCGTATCAGTTTCTATTTTCTACATTTGAGTATACAACCCCTGTTACACCATAGTGGTTGTGCAAACACCGCACCTCTAGTGATGGCCGTCTGACACCGATGCTCCGAAACTCGAAGCAGCATTTTCCTTGAACCACAAAGCTTAGTGCGGAAAAAGACGGTGACCGATCAAGTCTGAATCACGTGACCAAACCAGTGGCTACTGCTTCCTAGCGCGAGATGCTCAGTAACGCGAAAAAATATAGTTTCTCAATAAAGAAATATTTGAATCTCCTTCCCACTTACATAATCACACCCTGCCCTAAACTTCTAAGTATTTTTTCATTATACCTGAAATGGTTCAATACCGTTTCATCACTTCAATCCACATCACTACGCTCCTCTCACTTCGCTCATAGGGCTTCTCCAATTTGCCCTTCCCTCTCCGGCTGTGAGTTGTTGTGAAGTTAACTCAGTTCTGCTGGCTGCATGATTGCAGAGAAAAAAGAGGAGCGCTGTTTGGAGATATTTTACAGCTGCAGACAAAAACACTGCAACCTATTGTCTGTGGACAAGAAATCTGCTATTGTGGCAACACCACAAATTTATACAAACATATTAAAACATACCAGAAAAAGAAGTCTGAGCTGCAAAGTAAACGGAAGGAGGAGGAGGGAGATCCCCAAACCAGGCCCCCGCACCGAGACAGATGTCACTGGCAGAGGCCTTTCAACGTGGTCCACAATATCCAGGTAGCTAATTTATAAAAGTGAAAATAAGATTTAGTCACCCCAAGCATTACTTTGTTATTTTTCAAAGTGTAATTGGTCGTCAGAGTTCTAATTTTAGCAGGCTGATTAAATATAGACTATTCAGACAGTCATAGAACATATTCAGCCAGCTGAAATAAATCTAAGTGAATTATTTTACTGGAACTGAAAAGTAAAACAAAAAGTATCGGTATTTACTTGGTATTGATACCAAACTTTGCGGTATTGCACAACACTAGTACTTACTACTCCTATTGCAAGACCTCGCTCGTTTATCAAGTTAAAATGTATACAAAATTTTTGCTCGTCTTGCAAAAAAAAAACCTCGCAGACCAAGGTACTCCCAATCCAAGGTTTTACATGATATTTAGGCAGTGACTGGAACCGGAAGTTGAGCAGATTCTCCAACTATGAACATGAACGTTGTTATGAGGTTAACGTTACATGATTTAACCACGATTTTTTTATATGAGCTGTATGACACACACACTTTAATTAATCTCCACGGTTAAAGATAATTTCTTACCTTACATACTATACATTTTTTAATAATTTTAACCTGCCAGCATGCGTCAATACGTTTTATTTTGAAAGGTTTGACCAGAAGTTTTTAACACCCAACTGCTGAACTGCGGTCAAATCAGCCGCAGTTCAGTTTTCCGTGGTCAAGCCAGCCGCGCTAGAATTTGAAGTGCGCCTATATACTCTATATACTTACATTTACGGTAAAGGTATTGAAACGGGCCAAAGCTCGCGATTTTCAAAATAAAATACCTTAACTCCAATGCTGTATTATTTATGAACTTTCAAGTTTAATAAAAACACTTTTTTTAATATTTACGGCATAAGGACATCATTTATGGATTCTACATGACCCGCACTGTTACCACACAAAGAATCAAGCATTTCTACTGTACCGTTCTGGAGAAAGCTCACATTCCATGTGCAAGATTTGAAATCCAGTACTGGATTTAGCAGGCGCTTGATGAGAAGGTGCCGTGGACACAGAAGCTGTGTGAGAGGTGGAAAGGGGAGGGGAGTGGTCGCGGATGCAGGTGAAGAGTTCGCCTCTCCCAAATGGAGTGGACGAAGGGAGGGTTGGCCCACTTAGTAAACTATTAAGTTAGTGACACCTTGACTTTCTTCCAAACAATGCACATTTCATTCATAATATTATAAACACACACCTAACATTTGCAATTTTTTGTTTTTCCCAAAAAAAAGTGTTTTTATTAAACTTGAAAGTTCATAAATAATACAGCATTGGAGTTAAGGTATTTTATTTTGAAAATCGCGAGCTTTGGCCCGTTTCAATACCTTTACCGTAAATGTAAGTATATAGAGTATATAGGCGCACTTCAAATTCTAGCGCGGCTGGCTTGACCACGGAAAACTGAACGGCGGCTGATTTGACCGCAGTAACTGACGAGACAAAAGAAAACTCAACAGTCGCGCAAGTGCTATCATCCACAAATATTTATGTTGTAAACTTGTACTGATCCATCGAGATCACGAACTTTCATTAAGATCATGAACTGCTCCAGCCCGAGAGGTTTACAGTAGATGTCGGCTCAAACCACTCCGGAAATTAAAGTACTTCCTGTTTAGGAAGTTGGTTTAGTGAATCGTGCTTTAGCATATTCACAGTGGATTACCTTAATTATTTGGCAAGATGACACGAACGGATTACTTTAAAATGATTTTACAGGTTTTCAAAGACGTTGTTCCTGTTATTACCAGCGGTATTCTCATAGTGGTTCTTCTGTCATGTGTTTTATTTGGTATCCAGATATACTTCGACTTAACCCAGGGGTTCTTCAGCATTGGTGCCACTGTTTTTCGAAATGGCCACCTGCACAGGCTCTTTTTGTACCCTTTGTACCACCGAACCTTTGCTCAGCTTCTCCTGAACATCACAGCCTTGGTGTTTCTCGGTGGCAGTTTGGAGAAGGGTGTAGGCACAGTCCGTTTCCTGTTCCTGTTCCTCCTGATGTCGACCACCACAGGCTTGTGTTACAGCTTTATGCATCTTCTGCAGGACAGCACCAACCAGAGTCACGCAGAGGGTTTAGTTCCTGTGGCTTTGGCCTGTGTGGCATTAACTACTATGCGCACAAAGATGACTAAAGGATTTCTGTGTGGAGTGAGTTTCCCCACCATGGCTCTCCCTTGGGTGCTCCTCATAATTACCACAGCTCTCATCCCTCACTGTGTGCTCCCCTGTAATATCATTGCCATCCTGATTGGGTGGATGTATGGGAAAGGATGGTTCTCTCATCTGGACATGTCTGCGGCCAGGTCTGGCGTTGTAGAGAAGATGATGCCTTTCAGGTTGCTGAGGAAAATCAGTAGTGTTATGTTTGTTCCCGCTTCCATGGAGGAAAAGAGGAAAACCCTCCTTCCACAAATCAACCCCACACCTGGGTCCTACCCTGTCCAGGCCTATGCTCCATTGTCCAGCATTAATACTGGACCCATGATGTATGAAGGCTGGGTAAACTCAACTAGTGCTTTGTCTGGTCCCACACCACCCCTCCAGCCTCATGGACATGGCTCAACACAGGGCTTTGTTCACAGTCATGACCATGACTGCAACCACCACAACAACCACGGTCATAGTCATGGTCAACCTTAGTTACGTTTGATTGATTGATCTACAACACTCGAAACATGTAGTTAAGCCATGTTCTATTAATACTGCTTTATTTTCCACTCTTAAACCACAATAACGGATGGTACACCTGCAGCACTCCTTGTCACTGAATTGTGTGGACTCTAATACTTTGGAGAAAAAAATATGGCAATTGACAAACTACATGGTTTTGTGTGGGAATTCCCTGTTAGCCTGTATGATAAAATGACAGGTTTGTACATATTGTTTTACTAATGTTTTTTTTTTTTTACACATTTAAATTGTACACTTTTGTATTATTTCTTATTCTTACAAATAAATGCATAAAGAATAAAAAGTCTCCAGGACAAAGACCCACTTACACCAGGAAAACCCAAACATCCAATCCTATATTTATACCTCATTTAGAATAGCAGAATCCATGTTATTTTTAATGTAAAAAATGGCAAGTCACCACACACTGGAAACTTTCATCCCTACCAGGTTATCAGGTACAATAAAGGATAGATCAAGTGATTAACAACAAACAAACAAAAAAAAAATCTAGTGTGCATAAGAACCTGTTTCTGTTGTTATAGTGTCTTTAAAAAAAATTAAATTAAATATATTTATATACTTTGTGTCAGATTTTGTAAGCTTTGTGCAAATATTTAGATTTTTGATGATGTATATTCAGGGTTGTTTGGAGTACATTTTGTGTGATCACTTAACCATGACATAAGCAGGATATAATCAGTTTTATGCCTTATTGGCTTTTTGCCTGATGAAGACAAAATGATTTTGATTTTTTAACTATAAAACTAGTTTGTTTACATGCTCCTAAAAGCAATGCTTTTATTAGACACCATTAAACATTCTTTGGTTTGTGAACAAACTATCTAGTTGCTTACTAGTGGCAATGTCAATATTGGTTTTTGGTTTGGTGAAGATGGACTCTAGATTCAAATCAACATCCAAGGGGAGACAGTTTTAGTCCTCAAGCAGTTTGGTTTAATCAACTCACTTGCAAAGAAACTCATACAGCTTCATGAGACCTGAATCAAAGTCACATTTATTTAAATGGCATCCTAGTTGCCTATATACTGCAGTGTCAGTGACACCAGAATACAGATCACATCTTCAGCTTTAGTAGGAGCTCATTCCTCCCAGGTGTCTCCATAGATGTTTTTCTTCACTGTAACATAAGAGAGATCATGGAAAAAAAACATCATTCTTTCACAGATATATTTAAAACAGTAGATGTATTTGGATACAGCATCTCTGCTTCTCCTAACCTCTATGCTTCACCATCTCTGCTTTAGCAGCTTACCCGCTTTCTTGGGCCTTTCTTGCTCCTCAGGTGGTGTTTTAAGATGTGTCTCAGCCTTCTGTGCGAGTGTGACCTCATAGTTTTCTCTGTTCTTGAGCCTTAGGTCCTCATAGAGGGTAGACTTCCTCCTGGGCTCCTCCTCTTCCACATATGGCTGGACTGAATGTGATGGGAACAAAAGTAGACAGTACAAGACATCTGATGAGCTTGGGCTTTGAGAAGCTGTTAAAAACATTTTTTATTGTTGTCTGATGATACAGAGTAAATGATAAATTGAGAAAATAATCTGCAGATTAATCCATTCTGGAAGCAATTGTTGGTCGCAGTTCTGCACACACCACTCTGTTTTTGGCTGAATGTAATATTTTTGCCAACTTCATGTGTGTTCATTTAAAAAAACAGAGATGTATGCTTAGCAAATGTTAGTATCCATTTGTTTGTTTACACTGAACAGTTGGCCTGTGAGCTGTGTACTCATTATGTGGTACCTGGAAGACTGAAGTCATCTGGTCTTTCCATTTGCATGGGTGGCTCTGGATTGTAGCCATATCCATAATCTCTGCTGTGGGTGGGCATCTGACTGGGAGCTTCTGCTGACTGGAACACAGTATCAAATGACTGGGTGTCTGGGCCACTCAGCTGTGACTGAGGACCCCAAGGTCTGGACAAAGAACAGAAAAAAATGGTAAAACACTGTTATTGGGAGCATTTGAGAGGGCACTGGCCTAGATCTGTCAGCACAGAATCTGAGATTTGAGTGAGCAGCGAGGATCCTCCATTGCTCTCAAATGCACACAAACCCCAGTGGAGAAATCAGAGCACAGACTCAGAAATGAGCACAAACATGGCCAGACTTATGCTCTCAAATCTGAATCTGTGCTGACATATATGTGTCTGTGTATTCTCACAGGCTGAGCTGCAAACTGAGTATTGCTTGAAAGGTGGTCAGTGCGCCCTATAATATTTTGGCAGGGATTTGCTTCCACATCTGAGCACCTGGATATATTGAAATATATCGTAAAACAATCTGAATTAGCCAGGATTTAATGAAGAGGAATGTGGTGTTTGTAGTACATACTGCTGTGGCGGTAGTCCTGCCTTCTGTCTGACAGTGTCTCCAAAACGAGAGTTCTCCAGACTCTTGAATTTCTCCGCACACGTTTTCATATAAGACATTTTCCCAGCCAGGTAGCCACAGAAACCAGCAACTGTAGAGACAAACCATACAAGAGACTTTTAATATCAACATTTTATATTTTAATACCAATGTAACAATTCTATGACACTATGTTGGCAATGAGTATTTATTCTTTCATATATTTAATTTTAGCAAAGGATAGATGACAATAATTAAAAAAGTGTTAGCAATGTAAAATGATACTATACTGTGGATAACCACTTAACCATAAGGCACCCTTTAAGAACATGTCTAGTATTAATAGTAATTTTAGAGACTGTAATTTTTGGTGAGGTTCAAATGTTTAGCATTAGTCTGAGAGGTGTTTGCAACATTTAATCTACTCATTAATATGAGGCATCTGTATTGTCCAGGTTTAACATTTAAGAACTTACAGGCCACTTTGGGCAGAGATCCATATCTTGGAGATGCAGTCAGGGTCCCTACAAGGTTAAAACAAAACAAGTCAAAGAGTGTTTATATCTCTTTTACATATATTATGTTGATTCCTCTACATTATTCATGGCATTACCTCTGGCAATTAGGGCTTGAGTGACAGCCATGCTGACCACAGAGAAGGGCATAGCTGTGAAGAAAGTATGTTCATCTCAGATTCAGTGAAGAGGTGTCAAAGAAACATCTTTCCACCCTGTACCATTACAAAATAATTCTGACCTGTAGGTGCAACACATTCATTTAACTTACATCTGTACCAAAAGCTCTCATGGCTGCACTCTCTAAACACCCTCATCTCTTCTTCTGTGGGGATGTAGTCCATGCCCAAGGGCCCCTACAGATTAACACAACACTCAGTGTTGACGAGCCGCAAAGACAGACCCACCTTTCAGACAAAGTAGCGAGATTAACTTCGAGCAGCAACAACACGCCTGAGCCCGTCTGCAGTTCAGCCAAGGTTAATGCTAGCTTGCTAACACGTTAGCATCTTGTTAAATAGTGCATATTTATTAGTGTGCTTACCCGTGCTCGTCTACGCTGCGGCTCCTCCGGAAAACCTGTAGTGGTGGATGACATGACTACAAAGTCAGTGCTAATGAAAGTTTTCAAAACATGAGAAATAACGAAGTGTAAGCCGCTCTACAGACTGGGCTCTTTTCTGTTTGGTACAATGTCATAGCTCATGCTAACATTGGCGTAACCCGGAAATTAAAAAGTGGCATTTGTAAGTCAGATGAGGTGAGAAGAGCGTTGTTGTTATAATTACTGTTTGATACGGAATACTCAGAAAGAATAATTGGGGCAAATTATCATTAAGCATGCATTCCCATTTTACTGGTGTATGCGATTCTAAAAGCTTTAAACTGGACCTTTTATTTTGAAAGGTCAAGGCTCTTCGTGAAGGTATCAAAATTTGCAGTGCGCCCTCTGGCGGTCAGATCGATTGCTGCCGCATTACAATTTACATTTACATAGTCACTGATATATGTCAAATTCTGGCCCGCGGGCCAAATCTGGCCCACAGTGTAAGTATATTTGGCCTGTGAGATCATTTTAAATGTTTATTAGAGCCTTGCCCACCAGTATATATCGCATGCACCACTAATACTGCAAATCCCAGAATGTCCCAGTTTTTAATTTTGGCCCATTGTGTATTTGAGTTTGACACCCCTGTTAGATGCTTGGAACAACCTTCAACCTATCTGTCAAATAAAGTCTACATATGACAACTGATTCTGTATTAAAGGCAAAGGGCTGTCACACCAAATTAGGATTTCTTGTTTGTTTGTTTACTGTGCATTTATGAAATAACATTACATTATTTTGGAAAGTATTCTCACTTCACTTTCAGTGCATAAAATATACTA